TATAGAAGGAAACCATTCTGCACAAATCGTGTCATCCCACTCTGCGCAGGCTCGCGAGCTCTTCCTCTGCTCTCCCTCACTCCCGCCCCCCGGAACAGGTGTCTTCGCCCGCCCGGTCATTTCATGCTGATCTCAGCAGAGTGTTTGCACAGCAGGCATTCTCAGCCTAGGTGCATGTTGGAATTACCCGGGAAGCTTTAAAAAAAGGTTGCTACTCACACAGGCTCTGGCTTATCTGGAGTGCAGCATGGACATGGGTGACCTGCGGTGCTCTCCGGCGGAGAGCCATGGCCCAGAAGTGTCACCGGGACCTCCTCACAAGGCAGGTTCTGATTCAGCAGGTCTGGGGTCAGGGCCTGATCTGTGCTTCTCACAAACTCTCAGATCCAGTGGGTTTTGCTGGCCCTATGAACTTCGAGTAGCAAGGCTTGGGAAGCATGACACCCTCACCTCACCCCCACCCCACCCACCCCCAACTCCACCTATAGGCGCCACACCCCCACCCGCCACATCTCCCCACCCACCCCCACCCGCCCCACCCCCACCCGCCCCACCCTCACCTCACCCCCACCCCCACCCCCAGGCGCCACACCCCTAGCCCACCCCACCAACCCCCACTCCCAACCCTCACCTCATTCTCATCCCAACCCCACAGTCACCCATCCCCACCCTCACCTCACGCCCACCCCACCCACCACCACCCCCATCCCCAGGTGCCACCCCCCCCACCCCCCACACTCCCCTCATCCTCATCCCACCCCCAGCATCACCCACTCCCACCCCCACCCAACCCCACCCTCACATCACCCCCACCACCACCCGCTTCACCCTCACTCAACCCCACCCTCACCCACCCCCACCCACACTTCACCCTCACCTCCACGCACCTGCACCCCCACCCTCAGCCATGAACACAGCACGGACACCTCCTCCCCTAGACTTTGTTCCTCTATGCTCCATCCTCCAAGCTGCCAGACCCAATCCTCCCCCTCCCAGCGGCCCTCCTCCACCACCTCCCCCTCCCCAAGGCCTCTCACCCCCCCCCCTCTCCCACCGCCTCCACTTCCCCTCGTCCTCCGCCTGCCTCAGCCCGCCTCCCCCCGCCTCTCCCTCCCCCCCCTCCTCCCCCCCCGCCCTCCCCTCCCCCCCCCTCCCCCCGCCCTCTCCCCCCCCTCCCCCCGCCTCCCCACGCTCCCCCACCTGCTCCCCAGCCTATCCCCCCAGCGCTCCCCCCCTCCCCGCCTCTCCCCCCCTCCCCCCGCTTCCCCCCCCTCCCCCCACCTCTCCCCCTCCCCGCCTCTCTCCCCTCCTCTCCCCCGCCTCCCCCCGCCTCCCCCCGCCTCTCCCCCCCCCTCCCCTCTCTCTCTCCCCCGCCGCTCTACCCGCCTCCCCCCACTCTCCCCCCTCCCTCCTCGCTCCCCGACTCCCCCCCGCCTCTCCTCATCTCTCCCCGCCTCTCTCCCCGCCTCCCCCCACCTCTCCCCCCCTCCCCTCCTCTCTCCCCGCCTCCCCCCGCCTCCCCCCCCCCCCCGCCTCCCCCCGCCTCTCCCCAGGCCCTGCTACAGGGCGGCGGGCGCTGCGGGCAGGTGAGCTGGGGCTGGGACCGGAGGGCGGCGGCCGGGCTGCGGAGGAGGCGCGGGGCTCGGGGCCTGGCGGGGGCGGGTCCGGTCCGGTCCACCGGGCGGGGCGGGGGCAGGGCCTGGCGGGATGGGGAGGACCCCATCGCTCCCGCTGCGGCTCCTGATCGCCTGGGTGCGGGGAGCGCAAGGCGGAGGGCGGACCCGGCCCGCGCGGCTGCCATGGCGCAGCCTGTCCCCGCCCGCCCGCGGAGGCCGCTCCGCACCGACACCCCGCACCGCGCACCCCGCACCCCGCACAGCCCGCAGAGCGGGGCCGGGCTCAGGGGGAGGGCCCCCCCGCACAGCCCGCAGAGCGGGGCGGGCTCAGGGGGAGGGGGGCCCCGCACAGCCCGCAGAGCGGGGCCGGGCTCAGGGGGAGGGGGACCCCCGCACAGCCCGCAGAGCGGGGCGGGCTCAGGGGGAGGGGGGCCCCGCACAGCCCGCAGAGCGGGGCGGGCTCAGGGGGAGGGGGGCCCCCCCCGCACAGCCCGCAGAGCGGGGCGGGCTCAGGGGGAGGGGGGCCCCGCACAGCCCGCAGAGCGGGGCGGGCTCAGGGGGAGGGGGCCCCCCCGCACAGCCCGCAGAGCGGGGCCGGGCTCAGGGGGAGCCTCCCCCCCCCCCCCCCAGTACAGCCCGCAGAGCCTGGCAGTCTCGGAGCCTCAGGGTGATGCCGGTGCCTCGCCTCTGGGTGTCTGAGCCCAGAACCTTGTCCCGCCTGTGCGTCCTCTGCCTGCGCCTGTGATGGGAGCTCCAGCCTGTGCTACTCCACCCTCACCCTCACCCTCACCCCTGGCTCCTGACCCCTGACCCCTGACCCTAACCCCTCATCTCTCACCCCTGACCCCCTACCCCCCACCCCTCACCCCTCACTCTCACCCCTCACCCCTCACCCCTCACCCCTCACTCTCACCCCTCACCCCTCACCCCTCACCCCCACCCCTAACCCTTCACCCTCAGCCCTCAGCCCTCAACCCCCTCCCCTCACCCCTCACCTCCCACTCTTCACCCTCACCCCTTACCCCTCACTCCCACCCCTCATCCCTCACCCCTCATTCCTCAACCCCCACCCCTCACCCCTCACTCTCACCCCTCACTCTCACCCCTCACCCCCACTCCTCACCCTTCACTCCCCACCCCTCACCCTTCACCCTCACCCCTCACCCCTCACCCCCCACTCTTCACCCCCACCCCTCACCCCTCACTCTCACCCTCACCCCTTACCCCTCACTCCCACCCCTCATCCCTTACCCCTCACCCCTCACCCCTCACCCCCACTCTTCACCCTCACCCCTCACCCCCACTCCTCACCCTCACCCCTTACCCCTCACTCCCACCCCTCACCCCTCACTCCCACCCCTCACCTCTCACCCCTCACTCCCACCCCTCACCTCTCACCCCTCACTCCCACCCCTCACCCATCACTCCCACCCCTCATCCCTCACCCCTCACCCCTCAACCCCCACTCCTCACGCCTCACCCCCAGCTGAGTCTGCTTGTGGCCAGTGTGGGCCACTCCCTGGGATGTCACAGGGCCCGCACTCCCGCCTGCACTGAGGCTCCAGAGGGTAAAGTTCCGCCCAGACCATACTGGCCACTTAGAGACCAACTGGAACTCAAGTCTGTGATGGACGCCTACTGTCTTCTTGACTAGAAATCCGACTGTGGAGAAAGCTGTACAGAATGAAGCTTTCTTCAAGGCATTCTTGGGAGAGGCTTGTGGATTCAAGTGTGTTGGTCCGCAGATTCCTTACTTGTCAGAGTGGGATGAAGCAATAAGTGTGGCCAAGCAGAAAACTGCTGCTGAGAGGAGACAGATATATAAAACGTCTTTGACTTTTTTGCTTGTACTTTAACAGAGGGGCTAATCTATACAATAAAAGGCTAATATGCAAATTGTCCCCTTGATTGGGAGTTCAACCACTTGCTATGATGTGCGCTGACCACCAGGGGGCGGCAGCCAGGGGAAGGAAGGCCCCTATCGGCCCTGACTGATGGCCAGGCCCAGGGACCCTTCCGTGCACGAAATTCATGCACCTGGCCTCTGTGAATATTAATAACATCTTGGTTATTTTTAGAGTTTAGTCCTGTATGACTTAATTGATTCATTTACAGTCGTTCTTATCCTGATATGTTTCTCACAGTAAAAATTCCAAACGGTGGGTTTCTGTTCCATTTTTAGTAAAGTAATTGTCTCAAAGATATATATTTTAAAGATATTTTTATATCTCCACAAAAACTTTGCAATTGTACCTCAAAACCTTGCTCCCCTTTTTGATTCGATTTCAGAGCAGAATAAACCTAGAATTCCTCCTCACCGAAATACCAGCACTCCGTTAGTCCTTCAGTCAGGGTTGCCTCAGGCTTCCGTTTGGACTGATAAACTTGGAAGTCTCATCCACACTTCAGTGAGTTTAGTGTCAGTGTGAAACCACATTAAGCTGCCACGTGTCATGTGAGTTCCCACAGAGACCACAAGGGGGGGGGGTGTTTCCGTAAAGCTTCTTACTGGGCTTTTGACATGTGAACACGCTATCTAAATCCTGTCTTATACTACATGCTAGTGGCCTGGTGCATGGGATTTGCGCTCGGTTGGGGGTGTGGCCTGTGGGGATCGCCCTCATCCCAGTCAGCTGAGTGGCTGGGGAGCCCCCTCCGGGCGGCTGCTCCCCGGTCTGGCATCTCTGTGGAGCTGGGCCCAGGGACAATAGCCCTGAGAGACTGAGAGATGGCAGAGTAGGCCTCAGTCCCGGGGCAACCACAAGCCCACCTTCCAGCCTCCAAGGTCCACACTGCGTGGCCTGAAGATGTCCAGAGGAGGAGGCAGGGAACAAGAAGGAGGAGGCTGGGGGGGAGGAGGCAACATTCACAGCGCAGTTCCTGCCCCTCGGCCCAGGGTTCAGAGTGGGAGCAGCCGCTCACCTGCTCAGCCGAGCAGCTCTCCCACTGTGGTAGCACACTGACCACCAGGAAGCAGCTCCTGCCTTGAGCATCTGCCCCCAGGTGGTCAGTGTGTGTCATAGTGACTGGTCGACCGATCATTCCGGCTTTTATTATATAGGATATTACGTGACGTTATTCCCAGGGTCAGTCATCTCTGGAGGTGATTACTGGCATTTGCTGATCGTAACATTGTGTTACAGTAGACAGCCTGCTAACTCACCATGCAGTGCCTGATATTCCACTACAGCTTGTACCAGTTGCAACATGTTATCTTTTAAAATATTTTTATTGATTTCAGAGAGGAAGGGAGAGGGAGATTGAAACATCAGTGATGAGGGAGAATCATTAATGGGCTGCCTCCTGCATGCCCCCCACTGAGGATTAAACCCACAACCCAGGCCTGTGCCCCCAACTGGGAATTAAACCATGACCTCCTGTTCATAGGTCAATGCTCAACCATTGAGCCACACCAGCCAGGTCCAACATGTTATCTTGGAGGAGCATGGAATCAGAGGTCCAGCCACACTAATGAGGAGATGCGTGGATATGTGTCTAAGGAAGCAGTGCTTCCGGGAAGACAGCATCTTTGTGCTCTGCTGATCCGGAAGTGAAGACTGTACTCAGCTGAGCCCAGTGCTCCTTAGGTGCGTCCCGTGTTTCTGGTGCCTGTCTCTCCCCGCAGGATGGCATTAGCCCTGTGTCTGCAGGTGCTGGGCAGCCTGGGAGGCTGGCTTTCCCTCTACTTTTCTTGCTGCCACGTGAATAAGCACCGGGGCTACGAGTGGAGCTGCCGGCTGGTCACACTCGCCCATGGAGTCCTCGCAATAGGCCTCTCGGCGTACATTGGCTTCATCGATGGCCCGTGGCCCTTCACCTACCCAGGTAGGTGGGAGACAGGCTTTTCCCCCAGGGACTTATAATTCGGGGTAATCTTAAAAGGATAGGACTTTTTTCGCCCAGAGAATGTGTACACTATAAAAGAATATTGAAAATAATTTCCGATATCATTTCTATTGGGAGTCTTCATTATTAGCTGTGATGTTGTATATGTCACCTATTGCTTCTGCTTTCCATAACTCTCTACCTTTAAAACACACTTAAAATGCTTGTTGTGATGTAATGCATCAAAATGTACAAAACAAGAAGGCAGTGTCAACATCTTCCACCTCTTCCCTAAACAGACCCAAATGGGCGGTATAATACATACTTATTAGTAACCTGCAATTTTTACTTGATTGTATATTCCAAAGATATCATCTTTCCATATATATGGAGATAGAGCTTCCCTTTTCTTTTAGTTATTACATAATATTGTGCTTTATGCATTTGCCATCACTTATTTAACCAATGCCTCATAATTTGGGGCAGCTATATTTTTCAGTTGCGACATGTAAGTGTTACTTTCTTAGAAGATCATGCCCCTGTGTGAGTTTGCTGGGGCAGCATAGCGCAGGGGTTCCTGGCCGGTTTGCTTTCTCCTGCGGCCTCGCTCCTCTGCAGATGGTGCCTTTTTGCTGTGCCCTCACATGGCCTTCCCTGTCTTGGGTGTCTGTCCTAATCTCCTGGTTTTATGCGGTCACCAATCACGTTGGGTGAGGGCCCACCATAATGGTCCAGTTTAAATTTAATCACCTCTTTAAAGGCCCTGTCTCCCATCCTGAGGTTCTAGGGGTTCGGACTTCAGGATATGAGTTTTGGGATGACATAATTTGGTCCCCTAGAATAAGACTTTTAAAAACACCTTAGATTCTTTTCTTTAAATTTTCTTAGATTTCTATATTGAACTTCAGATTTTCTTCCTAGGTTACTGTCTCTCAATCAAATTGACAGTAATGAAAGCAATTTTTAAGCTTTGTGTTGTGTGCATGAAGGTTTTTTTTTTTTTTTTTTTTTTTTTTTTTTTTTTTTTAAGGTTCTTAATGGATTTGAACATGTCAGATCCTGCACCCTATGTTCTTGGATGTGGAACACACTCATTTCTGGGGTTCTTTCCAAAGTCCACTTTTAAGATGGGTTGGGTCACCAGTGTCCAGCACTTTTACTCAGTACATTATGTAATTTATGACATTCAGGACAGGCCAATTAAAAGCTTTGGAAACAGAATTTTAGCTGGGGGGAAAAACGGAAAGAAAGAAAAGAAACTGTATAGGATTTTAACTTAAAGAACAAAATAACTGGATTTTACGCTGCTACACAGAGAGTGCACTGAAATCATTGCTGGTGCCCAGCCCACTTACTGAGAGATCTGGTTCATCAGAACAGCACGCTGGGCCTGGAACACTGTTTGGTTTGATAAAGACTAATTGGTTTGATAAAGACTAAGATTTCCTTAGGCTGTCATTTTAAAAGCATGTAATTACCATTGTTTTGTTTTTAAAAAAATATTTTTTAAAATATATTTTTATTGATTTCAGAGAAAGGAGAGGGAGAGATTGAAACATCAATGATGAGAATCACTATTGGCTGGCGTCTCCAGCATGCCCCCCACTGGAGATTGAGCCCACAACCCTGGCATGACCAGAATCAAACCCCAGACCCTTCAGTCTGCAGGCCGACGCTCTATCCACTGAGCCCAACAGGCCAGGGCTCTATTATTTTTTATCTCGATGTTTTAGAAAGGATTGAGAGACAGTAGTAACCTAGGGCCCCTGTGTGAGGCAGCTCAGTTTTTTTCTGTCTTGGTTGTTTCAGGCTCACCCAATACACCTCTGCAAGCGCACGTCCTGTGCCTCACCTTGGGCTACTTCATCTTCGACCTGGGCTGGTGCCTCTATTTCCAGTCGGAGGGCGCCCTGATGCTGGCACACCACACCCTCAGCATCCTGGGCATCACCACGGCCCTGGTGCTGGGAGAGTCGGGCACAGAGGTCAACGCGGTCCTCTTTGGAAGTGAGCTCACCAACCCCTTGCTGCAGCTGCGCTGGTTTCTCCGCGAGACAGGGCACTACCACAGCTTCGCTGGCGACGTGGCGGACTTCCTCTTCGTGGCCCTGTTCACGGGAGTGAGGATTGGCTTGGGAGCTCGCCTCCTTTTCTGCGAGATGGTCTCCCCCAAGCCCAGGTGGTTCATGAAGGCCGGGGGGATAGCCATGTATGCCGTGTCGTGGTGTTTCATGGTAAGCATCTGGCGCTTTGCCTGGAGGAAAAGCATCAAGAAGTACCACGCCTGGAGAAGCAGGCGGGGCGAGGAGCCGCAGCGGAAGCGAAACGGGCACCTCAGGGCGCACTAGCGACCGCACCTGCCGTGGCACCCAGTCTGGACATAGGGCTGGCACGGAGTCCCGCTGTCTAACAGACGTAGGTTTCAGAGAAAGGGCCTCGCTTACCGATCAGCTCCACGTGGAGCACACGCCAGTGTGAGAGCCTGACTCCTGCGGGGCGGGGTGGCGAGGGCGGGCGGTGCGGGCGGTTGAATGGACCTGACCGCGGTCCTGTCTGTCTGTGCTGCCTGGGGCCCACGGGCTGGCAGGGTGTTCCTCACACAGCTCAGAGAGGAACCGGGGAAGATGGGCTACTTCGTCCTTATATCTTAGAGGTGTGACTGTGTCAACAAAACACTACCGTTTTCCATGTAGCAATTTAAACAAATCCCGCCATTTACTGCAAGGTGGGTGCCTGTTAGGGAGACTCATGCCTGTGGCCTCTGAGCGTTGGATCAGAGAACGGCATCTGCTGACTTAACCGGAGGGGAAGCGAGGTGAGGGGGGGGCTGTGGCTGTGGGTGGCTCACCGGTTTAGCCTCCCTGTGTCGGTTAGGTTGGGGTCCCCAAGGCTACCTTTGGGTTTGATATTTGGTGAGAGGACCCAGCATGTGGTTGTACTCCTAACTCTGACTGAGATGGTGCAGAGGCACAGAGAGAGAAAGAGAGCAGCAGAGGAAGAGGGGCCAGAGGCAGCACACGGGGCGTGCTGATTCCTTTAGCAATGGTTTGGGACAGTGTATGACATGGCTGCCAAGGAGGCTCATTTGAGATCAGGTTTCCTCGGGGTGGTCACAAAGGCAGCCTTTGGCTGGCACAGAGACGTTCCTGACTGCCAGGAGGGAAGTCAGTGCTCAGCATAAACCGTGATGTTTGCACAGTGAGCCTGTCTGATTGGTGCATGGAGCTCTTCCCACATCCGTGTTCCCAGCTGCCAGCCTTCCCAGGACAGTCCTCAGGCCTGCTGTGTTCGCTCTTCTGCTCAAAAGCCACAGAGCTGGGGCGTGGCTGCGAGGAGGAGGCCTGCTTTCTGGGCTCTGCTCCACCAGGGAAAGTGCCCCTAGCCAGGGCTTCTGTGCATTGAAGTCCTGGGCATGAGCAGCTGTGACGATTCCACAGGATTTCCCATGTGGACTCCACTGGACTTGAGGGAGACGGAGTCCCGTCTGCGGGTCTGCTGTGCTTAATGCAGACTACAACCAAACACCAAAATGTGTAGTGGCCTCAGGGCAGCGAGTCTTAAGTTGTCATTTCGGATACATCCCCTTTCGGTCTTCTTACTATTTCCCCTCTTCTCTGGAAGAGGTACCACCATCCGTGGACACATATTATGATAAGGCCAGTCTAGGAAGGAACAACAACAAAATTAGTGTGATAGTCTCTAATCTTACCCAGGAAAAGCAAGAAGGTGAACTTAGAACGAGAAGTTTGGAATCAAGAATGCCTGCGTTCTTTTCCAGAATTGGCTGCTCCCTGGCCAACTCCTGGGCGCAGGTCACTGATTTATTCTTCCCTCGTGCAAATTCTGCTGTGAATGAATGAAATGCCCCATGTTGCATGCCATAGAGACGGTATGTAGCATTTCTTTAATGCATTATTTATTTCTATCTTTGCTATTTGATTGATTGTTATTTAGATCAGGCTGTTGGTGAGAAAGTGTATAGGGCTATTGAGGTCAAGGCTGATGTCAGTGGCAGTTTCAGCTCATCTGAGGTCACTGGCCACAATAACCTTATGAGGCTCTTGAAAATGCACGCCACTGACCACCAGGCAGAGTGCTTGGGACCATATACTGTCATCACTGCTCCATGGAAGCAGCTTTACAGGCTTGTTCACCGTGCATCTTTTTAAAATGGTTGTCATTTGGTTAGTGTTTTGCTGGACATGGAAATAATCTGACAGTGATATCTCTATCTCTTTCTTTCCCCTGTGATCAGAATCCCTAAAATGTTGGCCAGTTTCTTTCCAACAAAATTATGGTCAAAATCAAGTGCTGGGAGTGCTGACTTCAGCAAAAGCCCAGCAGCAAGTGGCAGGGAGCAGGAGCTTCCGAAAGAAAAGCAGCTGGCTCTTCACAGTGGCCGCGCAGCCCGCTCCAGACCAGACACTTGGGCAGGCTGCCCTGCTGCCAGTCCCTCCCCGTCTCTCCCCAGAAGCGAAGGGGGGATTGCAGATCTTGCTGCTTTGGGGTACTCTCGTGTGAATGTATGTAGGTCTTTGAAATTTGAGAAACCTAAAGAATAATAAGGGAAAGAGAATCCCTCATCTCAGCTTATCTTGTTGTTGTAACTATTGTATTCAATAATAAATCTGAAGGAAACCGAGAGAAAAAATGTGAAATGAAGATGACCACTTAAGATGCTGAGGACAGGAAGGGCTAATTAACATGTGGGATGAAGTGCTCGTTTGCATTTGGATTAGAGGGCTTACATTTCAACATGATTTGTACTGTTTTATAAAAATAAACCACTTTTTACCCATCCAGAATTTGTTTTATACTTTTGTTGTGGTTTTGCCAAGAGGTTTGTAAGGAAGTGTTAGGCCTGTGGAAACGCTGACCCACGCCTCACGTTTCCCAAAACGCCTCCCGCCTGCTGCTTCTCATCGCCCATCCCTGGCCTGCGTTACTCCAGGCAGCAAGCTACACACAGAACAGTGTGGCAGAGGAGAGAGGACATTTTGCCCCGTTTGGGTCATTGCCTTGAAGATAACTGAGTGGCTCCCTGAGAACGGCCCCACGGTGCTCAGAACAGACTCCCAGGGTGCGGTAAGCTGAGAGAGCCGATGAGGAGGAGAGAAAGCCGCTCAGAGTAAGCGCATTGTGCAACCTCGGTGACCATGCACCCGGAGCTGGGGCTCCACAGTCACGGTCCTCCAACATTTCTAGGTGAGGAACTAGTGACCCAGGGTGTGACGGGATTTCTGAAGGGGTTCTATAGATGGAGCATTCAGAACAGTCTAGAGCACCCAACCTTCTCTTAGCCATGCCCCACCTAAGCACTCGAACATCCTGATGTCCCTGCGACATATAATTCTCATTAAAAAAGTGAACTCCCGCCCTAACCGATTTGGCTCAGTGGCTAGAGCATAGGCCTGTGGACTCAAGGGTCCCAGGTTTGATTCTGGTCAAGGGCATGTTGGTTGCGGGCACATCCCCAATCGAGAGTGTGCAGGAAGCAGCTGATGGATGTTTCTAGCTCTCTCTCCCTCTACCTTCCTCTCTGTAAAAATCAATAAAATACAATACATTTAAAAAGCAAAAAGTGAACTCCTATTCACGTGCAGGAAGCCTAAAAATTAACTCGGTCTAAGCAAGTTTCCAAAGAGCATGGCATCCATGAAAGAGAAAAATCAAAGAACAAAAGGACAGTTTAAGTACTGAGGAAAAAACACTAAGAAATTGTTTAAAAAAATAATAATAATATGAAGTGATATAAAAAATAGTAAATAAAAAATAGTAAATAAATTTTCAAAACATTTAACAGAGAACTGAAATGCACAAATAAGTCACAATATATACGTATATACTGAAGCCCCTAGAACAATAAAAAATGCAAAAAATTCACTGTTAATAACTCATTTTCGAATTGTCCCCCTAAAAAACCACATTGCCCCCCTGTGGGGGTGTGCCCACACTGGGACCCCTGGGCTGGAGCTACCAACACCTGGGAAGCAGCTCTCAGGGGCGTTTCTGCCATCAGGGCTTTGTGGTGAGCAGAGACCATCATTAAAAAGAACAGTCTGGAATGAATGAAGGACTGGCTTAATTAAGTCCTCTGCTGTCTCCCAAAACTTTCCCACAGCAAGAGCCTTCTTTGCTCACAGCTGGAACCGTGGGCCTGTTTAACGTTGGAAAGATCTTGAAAGCAGTCTGCCAAGAGGTTTTGTATGCAAGGAAAAGGAGGTGAATCAGGAAACTTTCCCAGTTGTTTTATTCCTGAAGCTCAATAGTGAGGCATTCTTGAAGAGAAGAAAGAAACTCATTTTTAAATGCATGATTTGATGAATCATTGGGGCAACTATAAAATTATTATGACAGGACAAAAAAAGACACATATTTAGTATGTGTGAGAAAGATATAAGTTTGGGAATAAGTTTGCACTTTGGTCATTGTATATTGATGGATGGGACTCTTTTCAGTTACATGTAGAAAATAATTAAGTGTCTTCAGGACAGAATTGTCATGCTACCAGCAGGTGGTGATATATCCTGGTTTGATTATTTGGAAAGTGGCTTAGAACCCTAATTCTCTTCTATTCTTTCTCAAAATAAACATTACAAAATTAGCTGGCTGTGCCCTGAGCATAAAAAAGATCAAGCAATAAAGAGTCTCTCGCCAAAACCGGTTTGGCTCAGTGGATAGAGAGTCGGCCTGAGGACTGAAAGGTACCAGGTTCGATTCAGGTCAAGGGCATGTACCTTGGTTGCGGGCACATCCCCAGTAGGGGTTGTGCAAAAGGCAGCTGGTTGATGATTCTCTCTCATCGATGTTTCTAACTCTATCTCTCTCTCTTTCTCTCTGTAAAAAAATCAATAAAATATATTAATAATAATAATAATAATAACAATATGGAGAGAAATGATCTTTACAACAATGAATTACATTCCTATCCAGGAACATATATTACTCCATTTATTCAAGCCCTTTTTATGCCTTTCAGTATAGGATAATATTAATTTCTTTAAAGTGAGTTTTTATAGACCACAAATCCAACATATGCTGCGTTTTACAAAAATCCAAGTGTGCATGAGGCAGCTAATCGATGATTCTCTCTCATCGATGTTTTTAACTCTCTATCCCTCTCTCTTCCTCTCTGTAGAAAAAGAAATAAAATATATTAAAAAAAAAAAAAAGAGTCATCTCTGGCCTCTGTTTATCTTTTCCTTTTTGTTTTCAACCCTTCTAATTTTTTTAATAAAGTAAAATCTGCTAAGAACAAGTAATAAACATGTATAAGAAATTAAAAGAGTAATATACAAATTGACCATTACACCCATGCACAAGATGGCCACCCCCATGTGATCACAAGATGGCTGCTCCCATGTGGTCATAAGTTGGCTACTACAAGATGGCCAGCAGGGGAGGACAGCTGTGGGCAATCAGGCCAGCAGGTGAGGGCAGTTAGGGGTGACAAGGCCAGCAGGGGAGGGCAGTTGGGAGTGACCAAGCCAGTGGGGGGAGGGAGGAAGAGGAGCAGTAGGGAGCAACCAGGCCTGCACAAGGGAGAGTTGGGGGTGACCAGGTCGGTAGGGGAGGGCTAAATTAGGGGTGACCAGGCCTGCAGGAGAGGCAGTTGGGGGCAGGGAAGTGGTTAGGGGGTGATCAGGCTGGCAGGCAGAAACAGTTAGAGGCAATCAGGCAGGCAGGCAGGTGAGCAGTTGGGAGCCAGCAGTCCTGGATTGTGAGAGAGATGTCCAACTGCTGGTTTAGGCTTGATCTCTGTGGGATTGGGCCTAAACTGGCAGTCAGACATCCCCGAGGGGTTCCAGATTGAAGAGGGTGCAGGCTGGACTGAGGAACACCTGCCCCAAGTGCATGAATTTTGTGCACTGGGCCTTAGTCCTATATAATAAAAGCCTAATATGCTAAGTGTCTGATCAACTAGTCGGCCGTTCAACCAATAATATGCTAATGATATGTAAGGTCACTCAACTGCTTGCTATGACATGCACTGCCCACCAGGGGGCAGATAGTTAACCAGTCACTATGACCTGCCCTGATTACCAGGGGCCAGATGCTCCCACCAGTAGTTAGCTTGCTGTTGGAGTCCAACCAATCAGGACTGAGCAAGAGGGGCTGGACATTCCCTGGAGCTCTCTCCTCCCCCATCCTGATTATGTACCGGTGGGGTCCCTCAGCCTGACCTGCGCCCTCTTGCAAACTGGGACCCCTCAGCGGATGTCAGAGAGCTGGTTTCTACAGGCCAGGTCGAGGGACCCACTGGTGCACAAATTCTTCACTGGGCCGCTAGTTCTATCTAATAAAGAGGGATATGCAAATTGACCATCAGACCATCACAAAGATGGCAGCACCCACAGTGGAGGCCAAGTTTTATAACAAGCCTTAAGGAGCAATCAGCAGGGACCTAAGGCTGCATGGTACTGGGCTGGGGCAGGAGACCTGAGCCTGTGCCCTCCACCTGGTGGGCTTGACAGGGGACCTCAGGTTTTCCCCCATGTCCCCGCATTAGGACGGGGACCTCAGGTCACAGCCTCCGCCCCGGCTTCAGGCAGGGGGCCTTCAGGCTGTGCCCCCCAACCTGGTGCTGGGCCAGGCACCTAAGGGTGTGTTGAAGGACCTAAGGCTGTGCCCCCTGCCCAGCAAGGCTTAATGGGGGACCTGAGGCTGCACCCCCTTCCTGCTGCCAGGCCGGGGGACCTGAGGGTGCACCCCCTACTCAGTGGGGCTTGACAGGGTTGGAACCAGCCAGGTCTGGTTCTTATCCAGTGGGGGTGGGCTGGCATAATTTTGAGGCACCGTGGGTGGGCGGGGACTTGACTCTGGGTCCTGCAGTGTGCCCCAGACTCTGACAGGAGGAAGATTTTCATATACATTTTACTAATTTTCTTTCATCTCTGACACTTCTATTATAGAGAAAGGGCAAACAGCAGTATTAAAATATTTCCTCTAATTAATTCCCTTTTAATGTGCACAAATTTTGTGCACTGGGCCACTAGTCCTATATAATCCTATCTAATAAAAGAGCAATATGCAAATTAACCATCACTTTGCTACAAATATGGTGGCGTCATAGCACCAGGGCGGGGCGCTGACCATGGTAATGACGCTAGTGTCCCACGCCCAGGCTGCGGAGGGAGGGAGGGCTGCTGGGCCGGGGGTGCGGCTCTGGGTACGCCCCAGAGGACAGAAGCCCAGCTGACAGAAAGCGGGCGCTGGGCTGGGGGTGAGCTCAGAGCTGCCGCTATGCGGCTCCAGGCAGGCCCCTGGCCCAGCGGACAGAAGGCCAGCTGACAGAAAGCAGAGCCGCAGGGCTGGGGGCGTTCCCCAAGCCACACTGTGGGGCCAGGGGCACCCCCGGCTCAGTGGACAGAGCCCTGCGGACACATGCAGGGGGTGCTCTGCACATGCGCTGCTGAGGAAACACCTTTTCTGAAGGCCCATTGGCTAAGCCTCCTGTAAGCTGCCTCTCACAGCGTTCTTGGTAATAAGAACCCAAGGAGGTGACCTAGGGTTTTTCCACCTCACTCCTGGAGGAAAAACTAAGGTCTGCTGCTGGAGCGGCTAAGAAATGTCATATCCTGTCCTAGCCAGGTTGACTCAGTGGAGAGAGCCTCGGCCTGCCAATCACAGGGTCTGGGTTCGATTCTGATCAAGGGCATGAACCTAGGTTGCAGGCTTCTTCCTGGCTGAGGCCCAGGTCAGGGCTCATGCAGGAGGCAACCAATCGAAGAGTCCCTCTCACACTGATGTTTCTCTCTGTCTTTCCCTCTCCCAAGCTCTCTAAAAATCAATGGAAACGTATCCTCAGGTGAGGATAAAAAAGAAAGAAAAGAAATACATATCCTATGAAAGACACATCCTGAAAATGCCTAAAGAAAGTTGTCATTTTTTCATGGTGAAGGGACTGGAGTCTGTGTTGATGAAAACACCTTGGCGGTTGTAACACTGGCAGCAGCAATGGGGTGATGGGGCTGGTGCCTTCCCCTGATCAGCATGGACACCTCCTGCAGAGGAAGGCCAGACTGCGGCTTAGGCCTGTTCCCTGTCAGTAGGACATCCCCTGAGGGCTCCCAGTCTGTGAGAGGGGTCAGGCTGGGCTGAAGGACCCCCCCCCCCCCTCACCCAGTGCACGAATTTCATGCACTGGGCCTCTAGTAATCCTATATAATAAAGAGGTACTATGCAAATTAACTCTCACACCCTCACAAGGATGGCTGTCTACGACCAGGCCAGCAGGGGGGGTTAGTATGGAATGACTACGACCAGTCCTGCAGGGAGGTTAGTGAGGGATGGCAAATTGACTGATCAAGTAGGCTGCATGGGGTGACCATGTTGACAGGAGGGGCAATTAGGAGTGATCAGGTCAGCAGGGGGAGGGGAGCTAGGGGTAATCAGCAGGGGGTAGTTAGGGGAGATCAGGCCAGCATACAGAGACAGTGAGGGGAGATCAGGCCAGTGGGAGGGGGTGGGGGAGTTAGGGGCAATGAGGCAGGCAGGCAGGCAGGTAGGTAGGTGAGCGATTAGGAGCCAGTGGTCTAGGAATGTGAGAGGGATATCCAGATCCCTGGGATCAGGCCTAAACTGGCAGTCAGACATCCCCTGAGGGGTCTAGGATTGGAGTGGGTGCAGGCTGGGCTGAGCAGACCCTCCTCCCCTGGATGAATTTAGTGTACTGGGTCTCTAGTAAGAAATAATGATCACAATTCCCCTTCTAATTTCAGCCTTAGTTCAGACATCTATTCTGGAATAATGATCTTTTCTTTCATGAACTGTGGGGATTGACTTAGAAACAGCCTTGTTAAGAAGTCATTATTTTTCCACATCCAGTGTTTACTGTATCTCCTTGGTCACTTTATTTCCACAAAAAGGTTGAAGTCCAATACCTATCAGCACAAGTTTAAATTCACAAGTTTGAAAACTTTGATAAATCTATAACTACTTTAGATGTCTGCCAATGGAATGAAAAGGAACTATATTGAATGGGGTACAGTTACTTAAATGGAATCACAAAACTAGATGGCTATGGAAATCTACCCAGAAAGGGGCGGGGAAACAGGGACCGGCCCCCCAACTATGGCTATGTGCCTGATAAATCTCCCTTCTCTTCTCCTGTCCTTTGTTCCACAGCAAGCTTGGGTCGTTTTCTTCATTGGGCAAATGATGCATTTCACTTTGCCAAAGCAGCAGCCCAAAGACAGACTTTTACTGAGAAATCCTGACTCCGCGCTTTCTTTCTCCTCAGCCCTGCGCAGCTCGGCCCGCAAGCCGCCCGCAGCGGACGGCCCGGAGGCCGGCAGGTGGCGGAGGCCCAGCCCCTCCTTGAGGGGCGCCTTCCGGGGAGGACGGCGCGGCTCCGGGCCGGGCCGGGGTGGGGGGGGGGGGTCGCGCCCGCCCATAGAAGTCGTGGGCGCGCGTCCCCGGAGGCGGGCGTCCCCGGCTTCGGGCCGGGGCTGCTCCGTCCGAACCCCGGGCAGCGCCCAGGAACTGGTCCGCCCCTGGCTCGGCGCGGCGGGCCTGGGCTGGCGCCCCGAGTCTGGGCAGAGGCCTCCGGTCAGCGGGGCGGGGCAGGGCCGGCTCGCGCTGGACGTGAAGGAGACAGAACCGGAACCGGAAGCCCGCCCGCCCCGCCGCCGCGGCCTCCTCCGCCCGCTGCGCGAGCTCCCGCGAGGCCTGGACTTGGGAGGCGGCCGCGACCGAGGGCCGCCGCGCGCAGGCCGGACGCTCCGCTCCGCCGCCTCGGGCCGCCGCCCAGCCGACGGGGCGGGGCCGCGCCCGCGGAAGAGCCGGCCGCGGGGCGATGGGCAGCGGGCCGCGGCGCTGAGGTCGGGCTGCTGTCACCGGCGCCCGGACCGCGTCCGCGCCCGAGGCTGTGGGGGCGGCGAGGAAGCACAGCGACCCGGCCGGGACATGGGGCCGCGCCAGCCCGGCGCCCGGCGGCCCGAGAGGCGGCGGAGGCTGCGGCCCCGAGCGCCCGGCGGCCCCCGATAGACACGGCGCCCGGCGGTCTTCCCCCCGCGCGGCCCTAGAACTTGCTCCTCTCCCGGCGGCCTCCGCCTCCGCCTCCGCCTCCGCCTCCGCCTCGGCTTGTGGGGCGGCCTGGTTCGGGGCCATCTCTCGGGCTCCCGCCGCGCCCCCGACCCTGCCGCCGCCCTCGATGCCGGCAGGCCGCGCGGAGCGGACCGTGTCCCTCTCGGAGTCGGGCCTGGGCCCCGAGCGGCGGCGAGGCGGCGGCGCCCCCGTAAAATGCCCGTTGGATAAGGGAGGACCTCGCCACGGGCCCCAATGAGCGGCACACAGCCCACGACCACCGACAGGTTGGTAGCCGCTCCGCCCGGCCCAGCCGCGCAGCCGGGCCGCGGGCGTGAAGGGCGCCGGGTCGTGCCGGGCCTGGCCTGACAGGTCCTGGGCGGTGCACCGGGCGCTGTGGGGTTCCTGTGGGGTTCCTGGGGGTTCCTGGGGGGGGGTTCCTGGGGGGTTCCTGGGGGGTTCCTGGGGGGCTCCTGGGGGGGTTCCTGGGGTTCCTGGGGACTTGTCTGGAGCGGCCTGGAGGAGCGCCGCGCGGCTCTGGCGGTGCTGTCCTTGCCGCAGCCGGAGGGCGGTGCGGCCCTGCGCCGGGGTTTGGGCAGCCTCGCTGCTGCCCAGCCGGCCTCTCGCACGCGGGGTCGCCCTCCGGGGCTCCGTCCCCGCCGCCCGCGGTGCTGGGAACCTGGTCTCTCAAGTCCTGCCCCGCGCGGTGCTGACCAAGTAGTTGTCCAGGCTGTTGACGTCACCCGTCCATCACAGGTTCTTGCAAGGGACAGTATCAAGGAGCTAAAAAAAAAAAAAAAAAAAAAGGGAGGGGGAATCCTGGGGCTTTATTTGAATAATTGCATTTTCAGTATTTCAACTTCCAGAAACATTTGTATTTAAAGCGATACGAGCCCCAAGCGAATCAGTAGGCAGGCAGGCAGGTGGACGTGCCGTGGCTGCTGGTGGTTGGTGAGTTGGGTAGGCCATTTGGGATATCCGTGGAGCACTCTTTATAGTTTACTTTTGAATATCAGGCTATGGGATAAAAGCATCTTCTTTCACTCCATTTTATTTCTCACTTTAATTATGACTTTGTATCCTTGTCTGAGACTTCAGCTTGTTTTTTCCCCCAAGCAACCTTATGACTATTATATCATTGAAAAAAGATAAAATAACTGAATTAGGAGGCCAATGAAAGCTCTTTGATGAAGGTTGCAATAGTGCTTCTGCAGAAAATAGTTGAATTTCTTAAAGGAGTTTGACCTAATAGTAAGACTTAGTTGTTGATTTTAAAAGGGTAAATTCCATTATCATACCATAACAGCTACTCCAAAAACAGAACTTCCTGTTCCTGTTGATGATTTCCAGTGTCAAGTGAATGTTTACCTAAAAAGATACCATTAAACATTTAAACTATATTTATTTTTAGATTGGTTGTCTTAAAAATATGTTTTAGTTTTTAAGGAAATGAAGTAATTTTCAACTGTTGAGAGAGAGCGCACTTAACAGGAGTAGCAACACTTATCTTGATTTCTCTAGTTATCCTCATTCCTTTCATGGTGTTTTGCTTCTGAGAAATAAGTTTCACGGTTGTGTGGGTAATTGTTCTCCTGGTTTGTTCAGTTCCCTCCCCCTCTGTGAACCTATAAACTAGAAGTCTTACAGGAACTAAGGTAGTGGTGGTTTTCTTTGTGATGATAGGGGTGTTTAAATTTGTAGAGACAGATACAAAGTCATCAATTCATTCCACACAAAAATCACCCACAAGCCCCCACTTAATGACCTTTCTTCCTCTTTGCTTCTCAGAGATTTTCTTACTATTTCCATTACCTTGGAAGTAGAATCTTGGGACTTGTGCACTTCCTATGACGTAGATGAACTATAAATATAAATAATCATGCAGTGAAAAGGTGCCTGTTCTGTGCCAGGCACTGTGGTAGGCCCACAGGGTTAAAAGATGAGGATTCTAAGTCTAAGATGAATCTGCAGATTGGTTTGGATAGTAATATCTTTGAATTGCTTCAAGTGCTGCCTGATTTTTATCTATTTTTTAAAAGAAAAATAACACCTTAAAAGTCATTTAATAACACCTTAAAAGTCACTACTGAGACAGTATGGAAACCTGTTTCTTAGAAATTTACTAATAGCTTTTTATTTTTATTTTATTTTATTTTTTGCAATCCAATCTTTTAATTGAGACATGGAATTTTTCCTTTACAACTTTTTGCCCTCAATATGTTAGCAGGGTTTCTGTCATCTTCTCACATTGATTTTGAATGACAGCTTACACAAAGATATTCACAGAGAAGATAGACTTGGATGCCTTGAGTTCTGCAGGTGATTACTGAAATCTACTTAATTTAATTGACTCCAGATGTCCCGTCATTTGGGCTAACAGCCTTTTAAAGTACTAATTATTCTTACGTGACCATTACTTTTTCTTTAAGCATATTCGATGAACAGCTAGCACCCACTGGCTGTTTGGGAGAGGAGTTGCCCCGACCTGAATACATGTTTGAAACACAGCTCTGATGCTCTGTGCCAGGATGCCTTAACAGACTTCTGCCAGCGTTCCTACCTTCTCAGCCTGCTGCCTCACCCTTGTTCGTCCTCACTCAGTGTCCCGGAGGCATGCCTGCCGGCTCTAGAGCTGTTGGCACAGTTAGCAGTGCCAGTGCAGCTTTTAAAGATCCTTTCAAGTTGGAGGTATTGCCACAAGGTCCGGCTTTGCTCGGGAGGGTGCGCAGCCCCGCAGGCCAGGTGGGACTGGAGCTCTTTCGCTCCGGATTGGAGTCTGTCTGTCCTCAGTTGAATTCTGACAGCTGGTTTTGGACGTGACTCTGTTTTGCAGTTAGTGGTGGCAGAGGACACATGGCTGACCAAGATGAGAAAGCGTTATTCTTCTGTGTTAGGGAAATAAGTGCTGGGCTGGGATGGAATTCAACTGTGTTTAGGCTGGGATTGCTCCCTTTGGATTCCCAGAACTATTGTAATATCCTGTTTTCATCTTTTGGAATCAGCACTTAAAAAGTGGCGAAAATACCCAATTGCTGCTTTTCAGTTTGCATTGATTACCACATTCAAGTCCTAAAAGGTACCAAGCTTCTGTTGCTGAGAATTCAGGGCTTCTATGGCAATTGGAATTTCTTCTGAGAAATAGAAGTGAATGATTTTCCATGGACTCAGTAAATGATTTCAGGCTAGGTTCTGGAACAATGAATTTTTAGGGGACAATACAGGTGGGATTTTGTTTTAAGGGTCTTCCTTGAAATAAATGGAGTTTGTCTTGTCTTGGACTTATGGATTTTGTTGTTGTTTTGATTTAGAGATAAAGTTTTTTGAGGTATTGGCATTTTTTTTTAGTGTGAGTTCAGCTGTATGCTTATTTAATTTGAGTAAACTTTAAAAGTGAACGTGAAAACCTGTGACTTTATATGCATATATCCAGTAATTAGCATTTTCATTCATGGTATTTTTTTGCCAACATTGCTATAAAATGCTTTTGATTAGAAAACAATGCAAAAAATACTGTAAGTGTGCCATTTTAAAGGTTGCCTGAGCCATCTGCAAGATGAAATTATTTGTAATATTATAAAGTCAGTCATTTATAAATACAAAATTGAAATTGGGAATCAATCCCAGTTATGTTGTCTTTTCTAATATAAAACCATAATTCATATAGGTATGCAATAGTTCATTCACTTGTTCAGTTCTACATGAGAAACATGTACCATCCAAATTAAATTAAAAAAATAGAGTTGTAGTCTTCCTGATAAATGGCACATTTATTAGATGTTCACATTTATTCAATGAAATGACAAGAGAAGCTTTATTTGAATCAATACACAAATATGTTAACTTGGAAATACTGTATAACACAGTCTTGGTTTCCAGTTTTATACAATAATGTTGAGTTAACCAGTAGGATTTTTTAAAAATTAAGTTTGAATTTTCAATTTAAAAATTAAATTTGAGGCAAGCATTGACAGAATCCATAAATAGTGTGTTTTACAAATTTTTATGTGGAGCATTGTGATTCCTGGGAAAAATCCATAATAATAAAAGCATAATATGCTAATTAGACTTAGGTCCTTTTAGATGTCTTTCCGGACGACCTTCTGGATAAAGCCAGGCTTGGAGGGAAGCCCGGCCCCGGGGTCCAGAGGGAAGCCGGTGCTGGCAGTGGGGGAAGGAAGCCTTCTCCTCTTGCATGAATTTCGTGCATCCGACCTCTAGTCTTTGCATAAACACACGGTTGCCTCTTCTAAATGCCATCTAGAAATGAGTATGAGTTGCCTGCCAAACTGACATGGGTCACAAAACCAACAGGATGTTTTAATGTTTTTTATTCAGAGATAATTGGAGGAACTCTTTTACATCATAGTTGTCTGACAAAGTTACTAAAAATGTTTATCATATAATCTCTTACCTTCTAGAAAGTGACCATGCCATATTCTCAGGAGTAGGGAGTTTGCCTTCATTCCGTCTCCTCCATGAAAACTTAGCTTTGATGCTGTCTTAAGGTTTCATGTGAAGACATGCTCCTTTCCTGTTTAATAATTAAGAGTGTTCAAAATGGTAGCATTTACACTGAAATTATAAAATCAGCAAAATCATAAGTATTTTATCTTTTGAGTAAAATACCCTCATGTATGTACTGATATCCTGTCATTCTTTAGCATTTACAATGTTTTCAACTCAGTATAGAGCCAATCACCACTTTAGGCAGCTCATAAAGTTTAAGTCAAGTTATAAAACTGGAAAGGACAGTTTTATAATCTAGATTTTTTTAAAATTTAATAAATCTTTATTGTTCAGATTATTACAATTGTTTCTCCTTTTTTCTCCCCATAGCTCCCATTTACCCAGTTCCCACTACACCCACTGCCCTTACCCTCCCTCCCATTGTCCTCATCCATAGGTGTACCATTTTTGTCCAGTCTCTTCCTGCACCCCCCACACGCCTTTACCCCTGAGAATTATCAACCCCCTCCCATTCTATGCCCCTCATTTTATTATATTCATCAGTTCTGTTCCTCAGATTTTTAATTCATTTGATTTTTAGATTCACTTTTTGATGTGTATTGTTCATAATTTTTATCTTTACCTTTTTCTCCTTCCTCTTCTTAAAGAATACCTTTCAGCATTTCATACAATATTGGTTTGGTGGTGATGAACTTCTCTAGCTCTTTCTTAATTGTGAAGCTCCTTATCTGACCCTCAGTTCTAAATGATAGCTTTGCTGGGTAGAGTAATCTTGGTTGTAGGTTCTTGCTATTCATCACTTTGAATATTTCTTGCCACT